TGAATGATTGAATAAATGAATCTTGTCCTTCCCCAGTATCTTTTGTAAACCCTGGAAGCCTCATTCACTTTACCCTTCTCCCACTGATTCTTCAGTCTCTTTAGGAAGTCATTAAGAGGAGACTAGAACATATAGAGATATAAAGCTGGGGTTGTTCACCTTGAGTGAGGGTGGGAGGACAGTGATGGTAGTTCCTTCAAGCATTTGAAGAGAGGGCCTATGGGAAGAGGAGTCAACTTCTTCTTTTTGGCCCCAAAGGATAAAGTGGAAACAATGGATAGAAATGACAAAAAGAAAAAAAAAAGAAATGACAAAAAGACAGAGTTAGGACTGATGGGAAAGGGGGAGGGGAAAGAATAAGCATTTATTAAGTGCTTAGTACATGCCAAGTTTTTTACAAATATCTCATTTGATCCACCCAGCCACCCTGTGAAGTAGATACTGTTATGTTCTCCATTTTATAGGGAGTCAGAGGTTAAGTGACTTGCCCAGGGTCACATTTCTTAATAATTAGAGCTGTCCTCAAGTGGAATGGGCTGCCTTGGGAGACAATGGATTTTGCCTCACCTTTAAGTCTTAAAGCACAAACTCCCTGATCATTTGTCATTAATGATCTAAAGAGAAATCTTGGTCTGCTATGAGTTGGACTAAATGACCTCCCAGGTCCTTTCTAGATCTGAGATTTTGTGATTCTCTGAAAGGAGAGAGAGAGAAGGGCCCTCACACTAAGGAAAAGCATATTGACACAGCTAAGAAGCTTTAATCCTTGCTGGACACTCCCCACTTTTATCACCTTTGGTTTATACCCACTGGAATAGCTCTTTCCTAGGGCAGGGGCTCAGAGAATTCATGTTTCTCTTAGTGAAGGCTCCAAATTGGAGCTCCCCTGGCTAGGCCAGCAGGTGATTTTCTTTCTTTTTTTTTTTAAATTAATTTATTTTGATTTATCAACAATCACTTCCATATTATGCTTTTGAGTTTAAAATTTTTCTCCCCCTTCCTTCCCACCACACTCCCCAAGATGGTGCACAATCTGATATAGGCTATACGTATACATTCCTATTAAACGTATTTTCACATTAGTGATGTTGTAAGTAAGAATTAGAACCAATAGGAGGAACCACCAGAAAGAGGAAACAAAACTCAACAGAAGGAAAAAAATAGCAAATAGATCTGCATTCAACTCCATAGTTCTTTCTTTGGATGTGGATAGTATTTTCCATCACGAGGCCTCTGGAGATGTCTTAGATCCTTGTAATGCTGAGAAGGGTTAAGTTTATCAATATTAGTCATCGCACAACGTGGCTGTTTTGTGTACAACGTTCTCTTGGTTCTGCTCACTTCACTCAGTATCAGACCATACAAATCTTTCCAGGTTTTTCTGAAGTCAGCCTGTTTATCATTTCTTATAGCACAATAGTATTCCATTCCATTCATATACCACAACTTGTTCAGCCATTCCCCAATTGATGGGCATCCTCTCAATTTACAAATCTTTGCCACCACAAAAAGAGCTGCTATAAACATTTTTGAACACGTGGGTCCTTTTCCCATTTGTATGATCTCTCTGGGATATAGCCCTAGAAGTGCTATTGCTGGGTCAAAGGGTATGCACATTTTTATTGCACTTTGGGCACAGTTCCAAATTGTTCTCCAAAATGGTTGGATTATTTCACAATCAGGAGGTGACTTTCAAAGCTGTAGTTGGCGAGACCACTGGGGAAATCTTCTCTACCCCTGGGCACTGGCTACATTCAGATGCCTTTCAATCTGAGAAATAACTTTTGGTTCTTAACCTTCAGAAGATTTCATAAGATCAAAGGATATAAAGCCAGAAGAGACCTTATAAATCAAGGGAAGGTAGGGAAATAAACATTTATAGAGTGCTTTATTTATGTAATATCTGTGCTTTTTACAAATATATCTCATTTGATCCTCACAACAGCTAGGTGCTATTATCACCTCTATTTAATAGTTGAGGAAACTGAGGCAAAAAGAGGTTAAGTGAATTGCCCAGGGTCACACAGTTAGTAAGTATCTGAGGCTGGATTTGAACTCTGATCTTTCTGACTCTAGGCCCACATAAATCAGACAATTTTTGTCCAGACCAGAAAAGTGAGGCTCATGGAAGCTGATGACTTACCCAGTGTCATTCAGGGAATTAGTAATGGAGCCAGGGTTCAAACCTCTAACTCCATTGCTCTTTTCCATCAATTAATTAATCTCTCATTTAGAAGCTGCTTCAAAGACATATCACTTGTATCTGTGCATCTGTTTTGTCCACCCAGCGCACAGGACGACTTGACTTAGCACATAAAATTTCACCATAGGCATTGATTGACTTTTTATTTCCTACCACCACTATTACAAAACAAAGATGGCCCTTAGGCCAACTTCCCCCACCAAACCAAGACCAGAAAACCTCAAGTGAGGAACACAAAACTGCCCAGGCCAAAATGAAGTGAGGACGTAGCAACAAGACTCGATGGATGCTGGTAGGAAATACTTTAAGTGAAACTCTCCCGTTGCAGTAGAAGTGTGTGTGTAGTGGAGGAGGGAGAGGGGGCTGTAGGGTGAGGCACTTGTGTACGTGTTTAATGGGAGTTAGAGAGGATATAAACCATAGGGATCATCTGGTAATAGGAGCATAGGTTTAAAGCTGGAAGGGACATTGGAGACCATCTAATCAGGCCTTCTTGTTTTACAGCTAAGAAGACTAATGGACAGCTAGGTGGTGCAGCGGTTAGGGTGCCAGGCCTGGAGTCAGGAATAACTGAGTTCAAATCCAGCCTCAGACACTTACTAGCTGTGTGACATGGGGCAAGTCACTTAACCCTGTTTGCCTCAGTCTCCTCATCTCTAAAATGAGGTGGAGAAGGAAATGGCAAACCACTCCAGTGTCTTTGCCAAGAACACCCCAAATGGGGTCAGGAAGAGTTGGACACGACTGAAACAACCGATAACAATGAGACTAAAGGCCAGGGAGGTGGTGACTTGCTTAAGGTTATTATACAAGTAGTAAGGGTCAAAAATATGATCTAATCCCATGTCCTTGGACTCCAGGGTCAGTGTTCTTTCCTTTGAACTCCTACTCCAATGCTTATATTTTACAGAGAAGTAAACTAGTCTCAGTGAGTTGAAGTGATTTGTCCAATATCACACAGTAGCAGAACAGAGATTTGAACCCAGGTCTTTGATTTAAAGATCTATTGATACCATGCTGTGTCTATGCCAAATCAGTGGCGAATGAAATAGACAACCATGAGTCGTTTGGCAGTCATGAGATCTGAATTCCAGTGTCTAGGTCTCTAAAATACATGGTATTGAGGTTAGGTTGCAGTTCCCTTGTTCCCATGTCATTGATGGGATAATAGTACCCACAGAAAGCTGCTTTTCTTTGTGGAAGACAGTGTGGTGTAGTGGAAAGAGTGCTAGGTTTGGAATCGGGGAACCTGGGTTCAAATTTTGGCTCTCCTTCTGTATCTCACCTTTGTGTCTGAAGCCTGTTGGCAAGCTACTTCATTTCTCTGGGCCTCAGTTTTCCCATTTGTAAAAGCATAGAGTTGGACTAGATTATCTCTTGGGCTCAAAAGTCAAAGCTCATTACTCAGGATGGTAATAGAAATAGAAGCATGGTATAGTGGCCACAGGAATGATTTTAGCATCAGTAAGATTTGGATTCAGGTCCTACTTGTGATACATGGTAACTTAGTGACCATGGACTCAGTGCCCCCAAGCAACTCTCAAAGACAGTTACAGAGAGCTGCTGATGATATGCACCAGTTAACAGTTTTTCATACTCCCCAGTCCTCCTTCCTCCCTGGCCCCCACCCCAAACCCAGTAGCCACTGTAGGCTATATTCTCTAGTAGAGTGACAAATATTTAGGCAGGAGAAGGAAAACAGTGATAGCTAGGAAACGTATTTTTTTCCCCCACCATCATGGTAGCACCATCTCAGTTCTCCTTCAGGAGGGTCTTTGGCCTTGTAGGTTGGTAAATTTCTCATTTTAATCCCAGTTGAAATTAGCTCCATCTGTGGGAAGGCTCTTTTAAAAAATTTAAAGAATGATTTTATTTCATTTTTCTAAATTGCACGTAAAAACAGTTTTAAACATTTGTTTTTTGTAATTGTTGAGTTACAAATTCCCTCTCTCCCCTTATTCCTCCTTGAGAAGACAAGCACTTTGATATAGATTATACATGTGCAGTCATGCAAAACATATTTCCATATTAGCCATGTTGCAGAAGAGAACACAGGCCAAAATACATAAATAAATGAAACTGAAACAAGAAAAAGGAAGTAAAAAAAATCCTTCTATCTGCATTCAGACTCCATCAGTTCTTTTTCTAGCAAGTGGATAGCATTTGTCATCATCAGTCCTTTGGAATTGTCTTGGATCATTGTATTGCTGAGAATAGCTAAGTCATTCACAGTTGGTCATTGTACGATATTGCTGTTACTGTGTACAATGATCTCCTGCTCACTGCAAATTTTTGTTGTTGTTCAGTCATTGTTCAGTTGTGTCCAACTCTTTGTGATCCCATTTGAAGTTTTCTTGCAAGGATACTGAGGTGGTTTGTTATTTCCTTCTCCAGCTCATTTTACAGATGAGGAAAATGAGGGAAACGGGGTTAAGTGACTTGTATAGGGTCACACAGCCAGTAAGTGTCTGAGGCCAGACCTGAACTCAGAAAGATGTCTTCCTGACTCCAGGCCTGGCACTCTATCTACTGTGTCACTTAGTGGCCCTCACTTCACTTTGCATCAGTTCATAGAAATCTCAGGTTTTTCTGAAACCATCCTGCTTGTCACGTCTTATAGGGCAATAATATTCCATCACAATCATATGCCACAGATTGTTCAGCCATTTCCCAATTGATGGGCATCCCAGGAAGGCTCTTTTTAAATTTAAAAACTAAAGTATTTACCAAGACAGAGGATGTATGTATTTGGATAGAAACTAACTTGTTTCTTTTCTCTTTTTTCCCCTTATTATAGTGAGGTATGATCTCAATAATCCTGCCAAGCACGCAAAACTGGATTTCCTCAACAACCTGGCAACAGGCTTGGTGTTCATCATTGTCGTTGTCAACATCTTTATCACGGCGTTTGGAGTTCAGAAACCATCTGTTGATATTTCTGCCCAGCAGTAGAATTTATTCAGGTGAGTTGTTGGGAAATTCTTCTCCTCTGTCATTCCTTTGCTCTCTCTCCTCCTTAATCATTACTAGCCACCCCTTTTTATTTCTTTGAAGGAACTAGGCTTCATTTAACTCAAAGAGATCTATTTTAGATACAGAATAGATATGGCTCTGTGAGGGTCAGGGTTGTGGTTCTCAAGTAAACACTTCTGTGTGTCCTGCCCAGCTGGATAGTAGGGTTAAGAATATGATCATGTTTCTTAGCACTGACTATTTTCTCATGGGAAAACAACAGCAACAACAAAAAACTTCCCACCGTGTTAAGTAGCTTGAATAGAGTTTGTGACATGAATACAAGGTTCTTCAAAAAATAGCCATCAAGAGACCAGCCTGACCTGTCTAAGCCCTATTTTCAGATGCTTTCTGACAAACTGGGAAAAGAACTCTTTCTCCCTAGACCCTGGTAATTTCTCAAGTCGCTACCTCTTATCCTCTAAGACATATCTCTTAGAATTTTCATTCATTGACCAGTCATTTATTAAGTGTCTAATAATAACAATAGCCAACATTTACTTTGCTCTACAAAGGACTTTACATATATTATCTGATTTGTTCCTCATCACAGCCTTGAGAAGTAGATGCTACTATTATTCCTTCTCATAAGTGAAGAATCAAGGCTGAGAACAGTTAAGTGACTTGCTTAGGGAGAAGAGAAGCATTTATTAAGCACCTACTATGTGCCAGGCACAGTACTATTTGCAAACATTATCTGATTTGAGCCTCATGATGACCCCGTGAGGTAGATGCTTTATTATCCCCTTTTTATGGTTGAGGAAACTGAAGCAAATTTAAGTGACATGCCCAGAGTCATGTAGCTAGGAAGTGTCTGAGGCTGGGGTTTAGTTCAAGTCTTCCCTACTCCAAGCCCAATGCTCTATCCATTGTGCCACCACCTTCCTTGACATAGCAAGTAAGAATCTGAGTCAGGATTTGAACTCAGGTCTTCCTGACTCCAAGTCCAACACTCTACTATGCCGCTCAGGTACTTGTGGCAATATATGTAATGTACTTCTAAGCCGGCTATAAAGATTCAATTCAATTCAATAAACATTTATTAAACATATAAAGAGTATGGAATACTGGGATAGGCAGTGAGAGAGAAAAAAATCCAGCTAACATTGAGACTCTGCCTTTCTGGATCCTACCATCTATTTGGGGGACTTGACTCAGACAAGGGTAATTATGATACACAGGGCTGCATGATAAGTGTGTTGGGAGATCTGATGAAGTATTAGCAAAGGCTTCTTGTAGGAGCTGGAATATGAGTTTGGTTTCAAAAAAGATGTTGGAATTCAATAAGCAAAAAGAAGGAAGGACATCATACCAGGTTCAGGGATTAGGAAAAGCAAAACTAAGCCAGGAATGCAGAGTGTGTTCAGGGCACAGGGAGTAGTCCAGTATGGCTGGAGTGTAGAATGTGTTGAGGGAATAGAAGATAACATGGGAAAGGTAGATGGGCTTCAGGTAGGAGAAGGCTTGGAATGAATGTCAAGTTCAAGAAGTTGGAATTTGATTTAATAACTTATAGGGAGCCATTGTAGACTTTTGAGCAGATGAGTAATGATGGATTGTTGGTGATTGATGCAGAAAAGATGGATTGGAGGGTAGTGGGAAGGCTGGTTATGAGGCTGTTAGAATAATCCTGGTAAATGACAATGGAGGCCTTTGCTAAGGTGGAAGCAGTGAGATTAGACAAGAGACAGGCAAAATATTGACGAATTAGACATTATCACTTCCCTTGAGGAGTGTGTGATGAATAGTCAATCAACAAGTATTGATTAAATGTTGTTGTGTGCCAGGTACCGTGAAAGGTACTGGACATACAAAGAAAGGTAAAAGACATGTTCCCTGCTCTCAAGGAGCTCATGTTTAATGGGGTGATAACATGCAAATATACAGTGTAAGTGGAAGGACTAACAGTAGGGGCAGAGGCCTCTTGCAGAAGGTGGGATTTCAGCTGTGTGTTGAAGGAGACCAGGAGTCATAGGCGAGAAAAGAGAGCATTCCTGTTATAGAGGATAACCAGAGGCAGAGACGACAGCTGGAGTATGGTTTGTGAGGAGTAGTAAGTAAACCAGTACAGCTGCATTGCAAAGAATGAGGACGGGAGTAAAGTATAAGAAAACTGTAAAGGTAGGAAGGATCAAGGTTGTGAAGGACCTTAAATACCAAACATGTTTAATCCTGTGAGTAATAGGGAGCCACTGCAATTTATTGAACAGCATAGTCAGACTTAACACTTGAGGAAAAACACTTTAGAAGCTGAGTAGAGTACGGATTGGAATGGGGAGAGATGAGAGGCAGGAAACCACTTAGAAAGCTACTGTAGTAATCTAGGTATAGCATAGGAGGCCTATACAAGGGGAGTGCCTGTGTCAGTTGTGAAAGTAAAAATGATAAGATTTGAAAACAAGGGTGAAGAGCCATGGACTAAACGGAGGTTCTAAGTGTGGGTGGCTGGGAGAATGGTGTTCTCCTTGACAGGGGGAGGGAAGTTGTGAAGGGGGAAATGTTTGTTTCTTTTTTTTTTGTTTGTTTTTGTTTTTAAATTTATTCACTTTTAGTTTTCTACATTCACTTTCACAAGATTTTGAATTCTAAATTTTCTCTCAATCTCACCCCTCCCCCCACTCCAAGATGGCATGCATTCTGAATACCCATTCCCCTAATCTGCCCTCCCTTCTATATCTCCCCTTTCTTTTATCCCCTTCCCCTTCTATTTTCCTGTAGGGCAGAATAGATTTCTATACCTCATTTCTTGTATTTCTTATTTCCCAGTTGCATGTGAAAACAATTTTTTTTAACATGTGTTTTTAAAACTTTGGGTTCCAAATTTTCTCCCTTTCTCCCTCCCTACCCACCCTCATTGAAAAGGCAAGCAACTCGATACAAGTTATACGTGTGTAGTTATGCAAAACACTTCCATAGCAGTCATGTTGTGAAAAACTAACCATTTTTCCCTTAATCCTAATCCACCCCCCGCATTTATTCTATTCTCTCTTTTGAACCTGTCCCTCCTCAGAAGTGTTTACTTCTGATTACCCCTACCCCAATCTGCCCTTCCATTTATCATCCCCTTATCCCCTATTTTCCTGTAAAGTAACACAGATTTCCATATCCAATTGAGTGTGTATGTTATTCCCTCCTCAAGCCAAATCCTATGAGAATAAGATTCACTTACTGCCTCTCACCTTCCCCCATTTCCCCTCCACTATAAAAGCCTTTTCTTGTCTGTTTTATGTGGGATAATTTACACAGTTATGCCTCTCCCTTTCTCCTTCTCAAGGGGGAAATGTGTGGAGGAAGGATAATGAGTTCTGTTTTGGACATTTTGAGTTTGAGCTGCCTACAGGACTTCCAGCTTGAGATGTCCAGAGGCAGTTGGTGATGTGGGACTGGAGCTCAGGAGGGAGTCTAGCTTCTATTCCCAAGTACAGAGATCTAGGAAACACCTGCATAGAAACAGTAGCTGAACCCACGGAGTTGATGAGATCAGCAAGCAGACAGTATAGAGGGAAAGAGAATAATAGGTGTACAAGATTTGAGTTAGAATGTGGGATTTGCATATTAATATGTCTAAGATCCATGATTTCATTAGTGTGGGTACTGCTCCCCCCAATATGAATCAATTAATATCATTTATTAATTGCTTACTAAAAATCAGGAATTTTGCTAAGACACTAAGACAAAAATGAAATAGTCAGTGTAGACCATACCCTGCCATGCCTTACCAAATGGTGTCATGAGTAGCTGACCTTCTGGTGATGAACCTCTCTAAACTTGGCTAAGGCTGGTCTTTTGAAAAAAAAAAAAAGACAGGCAGCCTGTACTTCATGGAGCCTGTACTTGGGTTTGACATATACCTAAGGGGAAGTATAAAGTGCTGGAGAAATTGCTTCTGGCTGGGGAAATCAGAGAGTTTCATGGAGAAGCTTATATTTGAGGTGGACCTTGAAGAAAGGATGAATTGTCAGCAAGTGGATGTGGGGGAATATGGGATCAGTCTTACTTTTCTCCTTTTCTTTTCCAACAGAAAACATCATTCCCTTCTTGCAGTCATATGGTGTAAGAAATTCACCAAATCCATGGCTTCTCTCTAAAGGCAAGGAGAAGGACGTCGGTTTTTCCTAATCGAACCTTCCTCTCCCTCCATATTTTTCCTGAGTGAGCTCTTCTGGAGCACATATCATCATTACTCATTGGCACATGTACCTGAACACATTGTCTTAGATGGGTGGGGAGGGTGGGGAGGCATTTCATTCAGTGTGCAGAAGAAATCTTACTAGGACTCTGTCCTTTCCTTCTTGAAGAAATTTAACCCAACAAGCATTTATTAAACACTGACTGTGTGCAAGGCACTGGGCTAGGAACATAAAGACCCAAACTAAGATATTCCCTGCCCTCAGGAAGCTTACATTTTACTAGGTGCCTGGCCACAGGATGGGCAGCCCTCTGAGAGACCAGAGAGTATTCAGAGTGGCAGAATACCTGCAAAATCACTGGACAGCAGATAGAAGTTCTCATTTCTGTTGCAGAAACCAGGGCTTTTCCATGTGTGGCTTGTCTGAGTCCCTGTGGGCCCCATCCCTGGCTGTTGGAGGCTGTCTCCCTAGAGGTGCTGAACAATTGGACAGATTTGGAGAATCAACCTCAGCACCCCTGTGCCTTCTGAATTTCTTATGCCACCGTGTACTTAAAAGAAAATTAAAATGCCCTTAAAAATCAAGCCTAGGATCTTTCGAACTTCAGCATCTCCCTTCCCCTGTTAAGAGCAGAAATTGGGCTCTTTATTCCATAGAAAGCAGCTTGTACCATTGCTAACCACAGGGTAGCCTTGGGGCCTGACCTGCAGTATTTGCCAAAAGGCCTTCTTCCTTCATCCTGTTTCTGAGTCACTGTTCAAATGGGAGACTTGCTTTGGCTGGACTGCCTCCTTTCCTAGGCGAACATTGGCACTCACCCC